TGAGCTAAATCCCTGGCCCTTGAGCATCTTTTTATATGGAGTTAGTCTTTTAATTTTAGATTTATGAAAGGTGAGTAGTGGTAGCCCACTATGGTATTAATTTGCATTTACCTCATGCCTAGTGTCTTTCCAAGTATTTTGGCCATTTTAAAATTAGGTTATACTGAATTTTGAGATTTTTTTTTTCTTTATATGTTTTAGATCCAAGTCCTCTGGTAGAGATGTGATTTGCAAATATTTTCTCCCAGTTTGTGGCTTGCTTTCAGTCTTTAACTATATCTTCTGAAGAGCAAAAGTTCTTAATTTTAATTAAATCCAATTGATCATTTTTTGAGTTTATAAAAATATTATTATTTAGGGATCATATTTAAGAAATCTTTGTCTACAACTAAATCACAAAGATTTTCTTGATTTCTTCTAGAAGTTTTAGTTTTAGATTTTATATGTATAATCCACTTGCATTAGCTTCCATGTGATGTGATGGAAACATGTAAATAATTTTTGTTTCACTGAATACAAATATCCTATTGTTCTAACATATATTGAAAACATTAAATGGGATCTCGCTGAGTGACTAAGTTGCCCAGGCTGGGCTTGAACTTGTGACTCTCTTGCCTCACCTCCCAAAGAGCTGGGATTATAGGCATGTGGCACCACACCTGGCTTGAAAAAGTATTTGCCTTTGTTTTTGAAAGATGCTTTCATTTCTATTCTCAGAAAATAATTCATCACAATAACAAGAAACAGAAAAAAATCCATCTTTGATTTCAAAAATTTTCCTATCTTTGAGCTACAATGTATGAAAATGGAAAGCAGAAAGTAGAATGATAGATGAATCGTAATGATGGTGCTCACATATAATGTTCACCATCTCAAGCATTAGTGCTTGGCCAAACCCATAGCCAAGAAAGCCCATTGATGAAGTCCCTGCTGATGACACAAGGACCTAGAAGAGTGGATCAGGGTAGAGAGTGCATTTGCACAGGTAAACAAATTACCTGACATAACACCATTCTGAGTACTTTAGATGTATTAGCACAATTAATTCTTCCACCAATGGCATGAGTTATAATTATTATCCCTATATAAACAGTGCATGAAGAAGAAACATACAACCAAACTGCGATGCCCTCAGAAGGTTTAGAGAAGACACTGTTTCACTGAATAAGAACAGGGATGCTCTAAATACAAGAACAATGACAGAAAAAGGAACAACTTTAAGCAATAAAAACTGATGGGCTGAGTGTGGTGAGGGATGTCTATAATTCCAGCACCTGGAAAGCTGAGGCAGGAGGATTGCTTTGAGAAGGCAGCCTGGGCTACATAGTGAGTTCAAGGCCAGCTTGGAATACATAGAGAGACCCTGTCTCAAAAAATACTCTGATGGGAACCTTCTCCTCATACTAACAGAAGAGTTAGAAAGCAAAGGTGGGGAAATCTTGAGATCAGAACAAAATATAAGGAAATACAAAGTAAGATTATGGTCTGGGGATGTACCTCAGTGGTAGAGCACTTGCCTAGAATGGATGAGGCTCAAGGTTTTATCTTTAGCAGGGAGAGGGAGAGGGAGAGGGAGAGACAGGGACAAAGGGAGGGAAGGGGGGGGAGAGAGAGGGAGAGAG